TATATATATATATATATATATATATATATATATATATCATATGCACAATAATGTTTAATGTTTCCTATGCCATACCTTAGTAACACATCGCAATTATATATACAAGTATTTATATATTCTCCTGACCCATCTTTTTTTCGATACATTTTACCTATATAGATATAGTGGGGGGCAGTCGTTTTCTTACTAGAATACATTATCCTCTTTATGTATCACATTCAATTGACTTCTACCACAATAACTGACGTTTGAACAACCGACAACATCCACTAGCAAAACGCTATATATGCACGAAATAGTCAAACGCACAGGACACTAGAGTAGACCGGTTTCTTTTTTAATATACAGACTTGAACAAACCACAAAACCAATAAAACTCATTATTAAAACCGAACGATCACAGAATAAACGGATGTAAAATTGTAAATCATCTGACTATTGTTTATATCTAGCACTAATCTTAACTACACACTACTGAAATTAAGCCGTCTGTCACAGCTTTCAGGCCAACAAGTTAGAAAGTGAATGTGTGGTGCAGGTATGCGTGCGTGCGTGCGGGCGTGCACGCATATATGCGTTCGAATTTGCTTTTGAGGAAGTCATCACTGACACTCTTTTGCCTTCGCAATGATTCACAAAAAATTTTGCTAATTTTCCTGAAAAAAAATTCTAGAATGTCAATGAACATCATCGAATGTTGTTCAGCGCATGATGCCGCACATGCAACCTGCCACAATGAGAGCTGACCAATCACCTGCGACGCGACGTGCAGCAAAAACACAAGGCTGGCCGAACGACATGCCGAAGACAAGCATAAGCATCAGTCTGTTTCCATGGCAACCGGAGCCCTCGCTTCACGTGGTTGGTGCCACTGACACCAGCGGCACAATTTGCGATCAAGAAGGCACGTCGCCACGGTTACTGGCACTCACCATCCGACCGACTTCAGTCTAGTCTGCATGCAGTACATGCGCGCGTGCGTGCCTGTGCACGTACACGTGCGTGTGCGCGTAAGTGGCTGTGCGACAGAGTGATCTATGAGTTCTGGATGAGGGCTCTGTGTTCTGCTCTCGTGCTGCCCTCCTGGTCACTGCCCTCGCTGCAGCTGCTACTGCTGCTGGCATCCATGTCTCGCGGCGTCTCACTCTTCGTGGCCGTGCTCAGAACCGCTCTCGTCGTCTGCAACAACAACGGCAGACACACGTGCTGCGGCCCTGGCGGCGAGAAAACCTCGCACACACCTCACGTAAGCAGAGACGTACGATACGCGGATATATGCTATGCATTTTCAACTGGGGTGTGGACATGACTGTGGCTTTACGACACACACTACTAGGCGTACTAGCGTCATGCACGCAGCGCCCCCTACACGTGTACGTGGGAGTAGAAGTGTTTCTGCAGTGCCCCCACACGTGTGTATACAAAGGCGTCGGAAGCAATAAAATAGTGCCGCGGCTTTGGTGATAGGGCGAGCGCCGGGGAGGCGAAGCCACCCTAGGGGGGTCTGGGGGCATGCCCTCCCCCGTGAAAATTTTGAAATCTACAAGGCAACTTTGGTAAAACTTCCTGAAATACATTCCCATTCAAGACATGCATACAATTGTACTGGTGCTCACAAACGAACTGTTAATATTCGTCATGAAACGCGCTGACCCCGGGCAAAGCATGCTCCTTCAATATAACGCAACGGCATGCTGCCTGCATAGAATCAGGAGTAGACGAGGAGCAGAGGAATGTGTGCCAGAGTTCTGAATCATAAAATTTTATAGCTACAGGTGACCTGCAGGGGCGTGTACAGGATTTGAACCAGGGGGGGTCTAACCGTAAGACATACTTGCGAGCACGCGAAGGGGGAGTCTGGGGAACCCTCCCCCAGAAAAATTTTGAAATTAGACCCCCTCAGATGCGTTTTCTGCGCGAGCAGGGGGGGGGGTCCAGACCCCCTGGACCCCCCCCCGCCCTGTACACGCCCCTGACCTGACCTCATCTGACTCTGGTCTCCGCTTATAGGGGCCTAGATTACACGTATATACATGATATATGTACCGGCCAAAAGACGGTATAAATTATTGAAAGATTTTGGTTACGGAAAATTTATGGCCTGAAAAAAGTGCCGCGGCAGTTCCGACGCCCTTGTGTGTATAACCGGTAACACCAGTATGCGTGCTGCACCCCCTATATGAGCTCATCAGTATTTTAGTTACCATGAGGCGTGGTCTGATCGCCATCGGCGTGATTCACCAACTCTTCCCGATCCTAGAGGCATGACGGTAAAGCAAGAGCGGTAACGTGTGAACGCATGCGACCACAGCCATCACGACCGAAAGCAAACAAGTAAACATTAGCACGCACTGTGCAACTCATGTTGAATATACCAAAGCCGAGTGTCATTCAAGCAACGTCCAGAAGAAAACATCCCACTACACAAGCAAAATAATATAAGCAAAGAGAATTCTATCCCTGAGAGCAACTATGTAACGAATATCTCGTATCATAAAGTAAAAGTGCACGATTTCAAATGGATTTAACTGAACTAAACAACTATTCAACATTCAAATAAAAGATTAAATGTAATTAAAACTGCAAAATGTTTTAATTAGGCCAGAAGAGTTGTGTTAACTGTATCAACCAGAGTGACTCACTTCTCGAACATGTACTTCCAACTACAACAGTCCCAATTACCAGTCAACACCCGACAATTTTCATGCAACGAGAAATACCACACTCATGACTGAATCAGAAAGGTGGATGCTAACCAAATCCAAATGATGTGAATCAAAATTCGCCTACGTCAGTTAACACCAAGTGCATACACTTGTTTATTAGATTGAAATGATCGGCCTCATCAAATCGCTAGATTAGCACCACTCATTCTAAGGGAAAATAGATGGTTTATTTCCCATTATGATGCAGTCCGTAGAATAAAGTGTCTCTAATAATACGATTCAGTGCAACCCACCATTTCTGATCTAATAAACAAGAGTACAGACATGGGCTGTCAGAAACAGAGTCGACTGCAATCCAATGATATGCCCAGAATGTATGCTGCAATACTTTGAGTGAGTAGTCACCTACCACTCCCTACCACCCCTACCATCATATTCTCTTACCACCCCTGCCACCCCTATCATCGTATTTTCTTACCACCCCTACCACCCCTACCATTGTATTCTCCTACCACCCCCTACCACCCCCTATCATTGTATTCTCCTCCCACCCCTATCATTGTATTCTCCTCCCACCCCTATCATTGTATTCTCCTACCACCCCTGTCATTGTATTCTCCTATCACCCCCTACCACCCCTATCATTGTATTCTCCTACCACCCCCTATCATTGTATTCTCCTATCACCCCCTACCACCCCTATCATTGTATTCTCCTACCACCCCCTACCACCCCTATCATTGTATTCTCCTACCACCCCTATCATTGTATTGTCCTACCACCCCTGTCATTGTATTCTCCTATCACCCCCTACCACCCCTATCATTGTATTCGTCTACCACCCCCTACCACCCTGTCATTGTATTCTCCTACCACCCCTATCATTGTATTCTCCTACCACCACCTACCACCCCTATCATTGTATTCTCCTACCACCCTCATCATTGTATTCTATTTCCACTTCCACACACACACGCACGCTCGCACACACACGCACACGCACACACACACACATTACGATTCCAATTCACAACAGCAGCAGCGGGTGCGGCCCCGAGCGAGCATCTACGACGCACCCCCGCACCCCGGCACTCACCGGCTGTCCACTCCACAGGTCAGCGAGCTCGCGACGACAGGCTCCGATGATGACGGCGACCAGCAGCGTGCAGGGCACGAGGTAGAGCAGCGCCGGCTGACCAGTGCCCATCAGCGCGAGGCTGACAAACGTCAGCACAAGACCGATACCATAACCTGCAACGACGCCGACGATGATGGTGATGATGACGACATGTCACGACTCACGATGACACACGTAACGCGTGGCGGATGATCGCAAGCGCTGATGTGTGACTCACTGATGTGTCACACAGTCACTGAGGTGTCACTGACTTATGTGTCACTCACAGAAGTGTCACACTGATGTGTCACTCACTGATGTGTCAGTCACTGAGGTGTCACTGACTGATGTGTGACTCACAGATGTGTCACACTGATGTGTCACTCACTGATGTGTCAGTCACTGAGGTGTCACTGACTGATGTGTGACTCACAGATGTGTCACACTGATGTGTGACTCACAGATGTGTCACACTGATGTGTGACTCACTGATGTGTGACTCACTGATGTGTCACTAACTGATGTGTCACTCACTGATGTTTCACTCACTGATGTTTCACTCACTGATGTGTCACTCACTGATGTGTCACTCACTAATGTGTCACACAGTCACTGATGTGTCACTCACTGATGTGCCACTCACTGATGTGTCAAACAGTCACTGATGTGTCACTCACTGATGTGTCAGTCACTGATGTTTCATTCACTGATGTACCACTCACTGATGTGTCACACAGTCACTGATGTGTCACAAAGTCACTGATGTTTCACTCACTGATGTGTCACTCACTGATATGACACACATTAATATGATACTCACTGATATTGCATTAAAGCTGTGATAGGACTGATAAAAATCAGTAACACAGCACACCGCGAGTTAAAAATATGGGAAATTTTTTCCTTTCTTACCTATAGACGTGCTAACAAAGTAGATCTTCCTGTTTTTTGTTTGCAGATCAAATCCATGGCAAAACGATATGAGAAGACCTAGAACACGATACACACATAATTAATAGGGCTTGTATCCAACTCCACCGCAATCCGCCGTCAAGCAAACACTGCTCAGTCACACGATGTCACTGCTCCACCTTGCTCGCATCTCTCACGTAGCACATACATAATCAGACCCCCCCCCCGGCACATGCATCTCCAGCTCTAAGTCATACCTCACCGCAAGCGCGAACTAACACGAACAAGTGCGAACTAACGCGAACAAGTGCGAACTAACGCGAACAAGCGAACTAACGCGAACAAGTGCGAACTAACACGAACGAGCAAACTAACGCGAACAAGTGCGAACTAACACGAACGAGCAAACTAACGCGAACAAGTGCGAACTAGCGCGAACAAGCGAACAAGCACGAATTAACACAAACAAGCACGAACTAACACGAACTAACGAGAACTAACGCGAACAAACGAACAAGCACGAACTAGCGAACAAGCACGAACTAACGCGAACAAGCGAACAAGCACGAATTAACAAACGCCACTCTCCGGGTATGAGAGGAGACGCGACGCATGAGACGCAGCGCATGAGATAGCACGTGAGATGGCGCGTGAGACGTGTGCGACGCAGCGCATGAGATAGCACATGAGATGGCGCGTGAGACGCGGCGCCTGAGATAGCACGTGAGATGGCGCGTGAGACGCGGTGCGTGAGATGCGGCGCATGAGATGCAGCGCATGAGATAGCACATGAGATGGCGCGTGAGACGCGGCGCCTGAGATAGCACATGAGATGGCGCGTGAGACGCGGTGCGTGAGATGCGGCGCATGAGATGCAGCGCATGAGATAGCACGTGAGATGGCGCGTGAGACACATGCGACGCAGCGCATGAGATAGCACATGAGATGGCGCATGAGATGCAGCGCATGAGATAGCACGTGAGATGGCGCGTGAGACGCGGCACATGAGACGCAGCGCATGAGATGGCGCGTGATACGCGGCGTGTGCGACGCAGCGGATGAGATAGCACGTGAGATGGCGCATGAGATAGCACATGAGATGGCGTGTGAGATAGCACGTGAGATGGCACATGAGACACGGCGCATGAGATAGCACGTGAGATGGCACGTGAGACGGGGCGCATGAGATAGCACGTGAGATGGCGCATGAGACTCGGCTACCTGGCACGAGTATGTCACCGAAACCGAGCAGCGAGTAGGAGAGTGAGCATATGCCGAACGAGCCATCGCTGAAGTGAGGCACTTTGATCACCATCGGCAGCTGCTCCTGCGATCGGCTGCTGCCTCCCGTCGCCACGTCAACCATCACGCTCTGCCCATCCTGCGAACACATTCGGCGAGACTCGTTAACAAACGATCGCCTCCTTGAGTCATTCCCACCCTCTAACTCTCAAAGAAACCCCTCTCGGAAGAAACCCTGCCATCTTCAAAGAAAGGCACTCGCCTTAAAACGTCTATGTAACGGTAAAAGAAAAACCCTCACCATAACAAAAACCCACTCACCCTCAAAGAATCCCTTTACCCCTAAAAGACCCGTTTAAGCCCATAATGAAATTCCCATAACCATTGAAGGGATCATATTCACCCTGATCCTCTAAGAAACTCCCTTTAGCATTATAACAAAACCTGCTTTAGCTTCAACAAACAAACCTTAGTAAGCAGAGGTGTTATGAAGACGAAGAAGATGTCATAGACAAACAGAAGCACTAGCAAGATGGTGCATGTCTGCAAGAAGGTAAACGTTCACGGATTCAGTCACACAAACTACGCAGAAGACACAGTGTAAAAATGCAGCATGAGATAGCTATGTGGAACAGGATATCTCACACTACAAGCAATTCCGGCTCAACCAATCAAAACGGGGAACTGAGTTGTCATCAGTATTGAATCAAGTATTCTGATACCATGCTGATTGGGAATACCATTGATGAGTGTTGAACGTATGTGCATTAGACTACAATGGCATATCATTCTTAAATCTATAATTTATTGAAATAATTGTATTTCAAAAGTGAAATGTGACAAAAATGCTCGAGCACAATTTCTGAGAGTCCGCTGTCCATGATCCATGATCCATGATAGAACTCACACATCCTACACAAACCCTGCTCGTGTCAGCATGAAATTTCAGTTACTGGTGTAAGGTTTATCTCATTTCTGGGCAAACAAAGACAGAATCTCACAGTTCTGGGCTGCGACTACGAACGTTGCCATGCCTACAGCTCTCACGCGAATTTCCACTCCGATGTATGTGATCAGAACCATTGATATCACAGAGTAGCGACGAATTCCAGTCAAAAACGTCAAGTCAGTTCCGCACATTTGTACGATCTACTAACTACGCTCCATGGTATGATCATATCAGGAGGTCATAAGAAAAAACACAACTCACTCATCCTATTGATTGCATGTTAGTCAATGCCAAAGATCATGGGATACTAGATATCTACCTTGAGGTTTGGTAGCCTGAGAGTGACCAGCATGTTGATGCAAAAAGCAACTCCGAGAATATCCTGCAATATCCACGAATACCTAAGCGGAAAAATAACAGAATACTTCATGCCTGCTTTGTCTTTATAAAACCACCTTGTTGCAATTCAATTCATGGCCAGTGTGAACCGAATATACACACTGTGCATTGCTATAAATTCAATTTATTAAAAAAAAAAAGAGCAGAAGGCAAATTGGCTTGTGAAAGAATATTAATCTGTCCTCTGCCTTGCCACATGTTGAGGATGGGGCACAAGCTTCCATGACACAGACCCATTACACAGATTACCCACTGCACTTACAAGGTTTTTCTCTCAACTGCCCACCAAGTGGCGAGACCAAGGCACAGTAGAGCAAGAACAATCAGCTTGATGCTCACTGCCTTGCCACACATCATCACCCTGCATAAACAACAGAATGTATCACACACTAACGAACAGCAGTTATTAATAATTATGTCATAAAGTGGATAGAAACAAATATTTCAATGGACATTATAATAAATAATAGGATCAATTAACAAAATGTCCGCAACCAATTCAAAATGTAATAATTGCAATAATTGCAATAAATAATTTGATTTATTTAACAACATATTTTCTGTAAATTACAATAATTAAATAATAAATTATGCACGCAACTATATCACAAGGGCATCACTTTAGTACCAGGAAAACTGCCTTTAGGGGTAACGACAGTTGTAAGGTAGTGTGCGTTATAGCTAAACTTCTCACCTTTGCTTCACAAAGGGACAGGGTATGAGTGCCAGCAGTGCACTCAGACAAACGAAGAGGGACATCGCTGACGCCAACCCAAACAACGCTATGATCACGTAGACTGAAACAAAAGAACATGTACGCTCTTAGAATATTGTTAAATGGACATTATGCAGTGTATCTACATTAGCTCCAGCATTACAACGTGGCTGAATGATGATGGTGAGAATAATCACAATAAGCTCTGTACCACGAGATGATGATCACTCACGATCAACTACTCACCATTTATCACTAATCATCAATCATTCTGCATCGATCACTAAACGTTGATCGCTCCTCGTACAATCAATCACTCACCATTAATCACTCACTACTGATCCCTCTCCCACACAATTGATCGCTCACGATTAATCAATCACCTTGATCACTTCTCCAGACAACCAATCACTCATCATCAATCATTCCCCACTACAATTCATCGCTCACTATCCACCAATCGCCACCGATCGCTCACCTAGGTAATCGTAGAAAAAATAGAGCAGCATCAGCATGCCGCACATCAGCACGACAAAGAGCACGATGAACTTGGGCGACAGATCGAGGGTGTCATGTTCGAACGCGCTTGCCTCCCGCTCATCGTCTCGGCCGCTCTGCGCCGCCACGTGCCTGCGAGGAACAATCGCCGCGTGAGGGGGACCAAACGAGCAAAACTCGTGACACAACAACCACTGCTTTTATACATGAAGCACATTTCGAATGCGCAGGAACACTTATTTATACACTCTGCCGCACTATGCACTGACGTTTTTTTTGCACAGCTCGTGTGCTAATATTTACTTTTTATACTTGACGACTCCCGACCAATAAGAGCCAGTAATGACGCAGCCGACAGCCAATAGCCAGATGAGGATCAGACTGTAGTCTATGTACAACGAATCATCACTGGGTGCGTACAATGCTACCTGAATATGTGGCCCCATTGCCTGCAATAAAGGAATATATATCCACACTATTAGTTGGCATTCGATCACATCTGAATGCAAATACGATCTAGTATATTATATGATGGTGCCCTTGAACTTTTCGCCATGACTAGTACTACTACGTTTAATCACAGCTATTGGCAGGTTTAATAAGACGGATCGAGAAAATCACCGAGTTACTCTAGAGGTTTCCTGTATAAACATGTAAAATCACACATCTGATGCACTTGCTCCTTGGAGATTGGCTGGATCACTTATTCGCATTAATGCTCAACTATGTATCAGTGCAGTGTGATGTTAGTAAGCCTAATGATGTGAGATTCAGCTCTCAATTGACAAGAATTCTGTTAGCAATCCTAAAGGGCATAAGATCGTGTTCATTCCAGCACAGTATTACGACTAACGGAGACTCGACTAATCTTGTAACTAAAGCGAAATTGCAACTGCAATGACTTGATTGCATAATGGGAGACAATCCCAAACTTCTACATCTCGTGTTCATATGCTCGTTAAACAGAATTTCTGTGAAGCAGATCCCATAACCCACATGTCCCTGTTGCACATATATCGCCGAGCTCTTCTATCACGCGATGCAATTAATGTACAACCTGGATATCTTTGGCATCAATGTCAGTGATCAGTGATACAGTGACGTTGATATTGGCGTACTCTGATGCATTTCCGTGTGGAGTAACCTGTAGTAGGAAATGCATGGCTATACATATATATATATATAGCTAAGTACATATATCAGGGCGCAAAATTAGCACTGGCCCACCGGCATATGCCGGCAAATTATTTAGAGGGCCAGTAACATTGGCAAAACACCGGCCCTCCGATCCGGTGGGTTCAGCCGTGTTAGCGAGTACCTACAGTTTTATTTATAGCATTAATGAGCAAATAGCCTACATTACTGTTTTACCTGAAGGATATCACGCCATAATTTAGAAACATTTTACACATTTGGAATCGAGAATGCAAGCGTGAAAAATGACAGTGGCTAAAACACTTCGGACATCATTCACGACCTGTATTATAGTCTGTTCAACAACTACTATACGCGATGCCGCACACTACAACATTTTCCGGACAAGCAAGAGTCGGTGAAACAGTCTTATCTTTATTTTTGGAGAAAAAAAATTATGAGGGCTGGTAAATTATGGTGAGGGCTGGTCAAAAACTGCTGTTACCATCCCTCTGGGCCGGCGCAAAAAATATGAATTTCATGCCCTGTATATATATATATATATATACATATATATATATATATATATATATTAGTGATGTCCCGATGATCGATTATAATCGAAAATCGATCGATTATAGTCTCAAATTCGATAATCGATTAT